AGTTCATAACGTACGATAAAGTCAGTTAAACAAAGCGTTTGACAAGATAATCGTACGTTATGAACTGTCGTTGCTTTACACAATTCCACCTCTGTTTTGCTAACTTATCTTTGTGCGCCAGGCTCGGACAGCGCGGCGGCGAGCGTGTGCGGCTGGGTGCGCGCGGAGGCGTGCCCGCAGTGGGGCGCGCTGTGCCCCGCCTGCCTGCGCGCGCTGCGGGGCCCCGCGCCCGCCGTGGCCCTGACGCGCTGCCAGCACATGCTGCACCTGCACTGCCTCAACACGCAGCTGGAGCGCCTGCGGGCGGCTGGCGTGAGTCTAATGAAATGTTTTATGAACGTTGTGCGGAGGCGTGCCCCAGTGGGGCGCGCTGTGCCCCGCCTGCCTGCGCGCGCTGCGGGGCCCCGCGCCCGCCGTGGCCCTGACGCGCTGCCAGCACATGCTGCACCTGCACTGCCTCAACACGCAGCTGGAGCGCCTGCGGGCGGCTGGCGTGAGTCTAATGAAATGTTTTATGAACGTTGTGCGGAGGCGTGCCCCAGTGGGGCGCGCTGTGCCCCGCCTGCCTGCGCGCGCTGCGGGGCCCCGCGCCCGCCGTGGCCCTGACGCGCTGCCAGCACATGCTGCACCTGCACTGCCTCAACACGCAGCTGGAGCGCCTGCGGGCGGCTGGCGTGAGTCTAATGAAATGTTTTATGAACGTTGTGCGGAGGCGTGCCCCAGTGGGGCGCGCTGTGCCCCGCCTGCCTGCGCGCGCTGCGGGGCCCCGCGCCCGCCGTGGCCCTGACGCGCTGCCAGCACATGCTGCACCTGCACTGCCTCAACACGCAGCTGGAGCGCCTGCGGGCGGCTGGCGTGAGTCTAATGAAATGTTTTATGAACGTTGTGCGGAGGCGTGCCCCAGTGGGGCGCGCTGTGCCCCGCCTGCCTGCGCGCGCTGCGGGGCCCCGCGCCCGCCGTGGCCCTGACGCGCTGCCAGCACATGCTGCACCTGCACTGCCTCAACACGCAGCTGGAGCGCCTGCGGGCGGCTGGCGTGAGTCTAATGAAATGTTTTATGAACGTTGTGCGGAGGCGTGCCCCAGTGGGGCGCGCTGTGCCCCGCCTGCCTGCGCGCGCTGCGGGGCCCCGCGCCCGCCGTGGCCCTGACGCGCTGCCAGCACATGCTGCACCTGCACTGCCTCAACACGCAGCTGGAGCGCCTGCGGGCGGCTGGCGTGAGTCTAATGAAATGTTTTATGAACGTTGTGCGGAGGCGTGCCCCAGTGGGGCGCGCTGTGCCCCGCCTGCCTGCGCGCGCTGCGGGGCCCCGCGCCCGCCGTGGCCCTGACGCGCTGCCAGCACATGCTGCACCTGCACTGCCTCAACACGCAGCTGGAGCGCCTGCGGGCCGCTGGCGTGAGTCAATTTCAATATTTTATGAACGTCAAAATAATAACAAAGGTGGCCCGAGAAAATCTCCAACGTCGAGCTATTGGAACGCTGCCACGAAATTCCGATCGACCAGCAGATCAAGCGCCGCAAGTGGAACTGGATTGGCCACACTCCCCGAAGGGACCCCGATCACATCCCTAAGCAGGCTCTGGATTGGAATCCCCAAGGAAAACGCAAACGTGGTCGACCCAGGCAAACTTGGCGGCGCACTGTAGCGGACGAGGCGAAGAAGATCGGCAAGACCTGGAGCGAGATCAAGCGAGAAGCTCAAGACCGAACGAGATGGAGGACTGTTGTGGACGCCCTCTGCCCCATCTAGGGGACATAGGATCATAAGTCAGTAAGTCAAGTTGCCCTAGGGGTCTTCGCTAAAGCTCGCGCGGGTACCCGTTCTTTACATGCGACGCGGACCCCTGCTGTGGCCCTGACTCAGTGCCAGCACATGCTGCACTGCCTCAACGCAGCTGGAGCGTCTGCGTGCGGCTGGCGTGAGTGAATTTAAATGAAATGAATGTCTTTTGTTCATTTTGAACCATTTTTGGTATTTGTGAACGTCAGAATAAGTAATAAAACAAGGTAAAGCCCGGTCCGTGAGCGCGTAGAATTTTGTCCAATGACCCCTAGATACCCATCCTTATCGCTCGCGCGTAATTATATTGCTGTCGCGACTGTGCGAATGGCACCCGCAGTGAGTGTGCGAGCGCGATAGCAACATTCATTGGACAAAATTCTACGCGCTCACGGACCAGACCATAGCCCTTAGGCATCTGCTAAAATTTGCGCGAGGGCACGGAGTGGATGCCAGCTCCGGTCCTGCACTCCGCGGGCGATTATATGTCCACTTATCTTTTGACCTTTGCCGATGATTCGATACAAACATGACATGCTAAGAAAAAACACCGGAACAAATTCAGTCATCACTAACATTCAGTTGCCAGTTATATTATTTAAATAAAAATAGACTGAACTGATCACGCATCTTTCTCACGTCGGAGTACAAGCCTGAATCGCCATTAGATGCAGCCTCAGGTGGAGTCAGATTTTGTTGGTTTTTGTGCGTGCTCAAAGGCCCTGTGCATTCACTGGAGACAGGATACACACGTCTGGTGCCATCGCGATTTTCATGGTCGCTACACATCGATAGCAGAGAGGCAGATCTAATTGAGCAGCCTCAGTCTGCCCCAAGAATAGGCTGCTCAGCTTAAGGCTATTCAAGTGGACACGAAGCTTTCCATTAACGCTATATTATGTTGATAACCTCTCGTCTATCCGCAGGAGGCGCTATACATCGAGTGCCTGGTGTGCGGGCGCGTGTACGGCCGCGCGGAGGGGGCGGGCGCGGGCGCGGGCGCGGGCGGGGAGGGCGGCGCGCAGCCGCCCGGCAGCATGGCGTGGAGCCTGCAGCCCACGCCGCTGCCGCCCTACCCGCACTGCTCCTCCATACTCATCACTTACAGGTGTGTTATAGAGATGGGATATACTAGGTAAATTTGAGACTAGGTGCACCTATTCCTAGTATTTATTAATACTCGATCCAAATACCTATTCCACCTAGTACGTAGTAATTTAGCATACTTGACGCGACTAGTGCGGACTAATCCACGTAATATGACTTTAAAATACAATTTTCTTTGAAAAGATACAACCGTAGTATGAATAATGCAATTTGAAATTGAATAATAATTCCTCCCTTCATACTTCAACAGGCTTAGTACTGTCAACTTAAAAGTCAGTCAATTTCGTAAAAATATTTTCATATATTTTTCTTTTTTACATGATTATTTACATGAATGTGGTTTGACTGCGTTTGTGTGCGTTTGCTTCGTCGCGCTCAAATTTGTTTGGTCAGACAGAGACGGAGTGAATCTCTACGTTCGCACATAAGCTTAGCGCGTAATACACGACTACGGATTACGCAATAATAACCTCTATTACTTTGACGGTTGGGTCGTAAATCGTGTAATTTATAAAATACTAGGTGGATCAAGTATTTAAAAAATTGGAATAGGTGCCGCCTAGTACTGTAAAATACCTAGTGTGTGGATCTGTTCTAGTAAATACGTCTCATCTTTAGTATGTTGTGAGCTCGATATCTCAGAGCATCCTCGGTTGTCAACTACTAAAGTCCGGTCGCCGAGCACGTAGTATTTCATCCAATGACCCCAAGCTACCCATCCTTATCGTTGCGTTCGCACACTCACTGCGCCCCCCGTCGTAAAGTCGTGACAGCAATATAATTATGCGTGAGCGATAAGGATGGGTAGCTTGAGGTCATTGGACGAAATTCTACGTGCTCGCGACCGGACTTTACAAATATATTTTGTAGTGGTTGTTTCGAGCATTTCTTTTAATTTCGGAAAATGCCTTTCGCACAAGCATTGGCCAATACTTTCCCATTTCCTCTCGTATACTCATGGGGTCTACAGAGGGAGGGGCGGTGTCCTCCGGACAAAGCCACGAGTTACTGTCCTAACTTGGGCATTGGTCCGTGGCTCCTTCTCAAGCTATGGTACCAAGCGAGTCTCTCCGGCTTCGAGGGGTCCACCATTCTCCTCATCTAGTTGTTTTTGGAGAGGTTTTTTGGCCCGCTATAGCGGATTACGGTCTGCTCTATGCCGTTGCTAGGAGCTTTCCATTAGGCTCAGTTCATAATTATGCACTACCATTAACTCTGGCGTTTGTAGCTTCCAGTCGGGGCGGCAGGGCCCGCGGCACCCGGCGCCGGGCGCGCCCTACTACGCCGTGGGCTTCCCGCGGCACACGCTGCTGCCCGACACGCCGCTGGGACGACAGGTAACAACGACATTATATTGCATTTGTTGTACCGAAGTGGTAATGTGGTAAGAAGTTTCTTGATCTGAAAAACATATTTTTTAATTTAATGGACGTTATGTCGTCACGTCTATAAACCTCTGTGAGTTATTGATAAATGGTTATCAGAATATTTTTTAAGTCAAAATTATACATTTACGAGCTATTGTATGTTATTTCTACTACATGACACGCGTGATAACCGCGCGGTTCATGCTGGTTCTCATTAATGAGGCACTGATGCTGTAACTGTTTCATGTAAATGTATGAGAATTGCCCATCAACCGCGCGATTATTGCTGCGTCTGAATAAAGCCTCAGGCTGGTTTTAGTGTCACCCGGACCGTCCAGTGCGGATCCGCTCCGCACAGCCGATCTGTATGAATAGACAGTTTGACACCATACCCCAATAATTTAAAACCACTACTGTTTTAAAAAGACCCTTCATTCTGGTCTTAAAAACTTAATTAATTTTAAATAACCTGTAAATTACGATTTTTGTTCGCATTATAATTGAAAAAAGTAGTACAATTGAGTTGACAAAATAGTGACGTCACTTACTTGTAGTGCCATACAAAATCTATGGGAGAGTTTCGTTTTGACAGTTTTAAAAAGTACGTCAATTGACTGGTGGTGTCAACACGTCTATTGCTAGGGAGCGAGCGGTTCCAACACTCCCTAGAAGTTTATACATATGATCCGCACTGGACGGTCCGCGTTACACTAAAACCAGCCTAAGACAAGCGTCGTGTTTAGGTGCTGTCAGCGCTGCGCAGCCTATGGGCAGCTGGTCTCCTATTCGGCGTGTGCGCGTCACAGACGACAGGCCGCGAGCACGTGGTGGCGTGGCGCGCGCCGCCGCCGCCCGCCGCCGCCGCCCACTACCCCGCGCCCGCCGCCGCCGCCGACGCCGCGCTACACGCCGCCCTCGCCCGCCTCCACGCGCTCATGCCCGAGGCGCGGTGACACAACACCACTGTGCTATGGTAAAGCCTGCTCCGTGAGCACGTAGAATTTTGTCCAATGACCCCAAGCTACCCATCCTTATCGCTCGCGCGTAATTATGTTGCTGTCTCGCTCGCACACTCACTGCGGGCGCGCGTCGCACAGTCGCGACAGTTTGCAATTACGCGCGAGCGATAAGGATGGGTAGCTTGGGGTCATTGGACAAAATTCTACGTGCTCGCAGACCAGACTATAGCCGCAAGATTGTGGGAGTAGAGACAGGTAATCGTTCAGTTCTGTAAAATTGGCTTTTGAATTTGGTTATGATTTCTATGTTAAACTGTTTTATTAACAAAATACAAGTATAAAATTATTACTCGTAAAAATATATATTTACTGCAACAAAATTAAATGGTTAAAAATCTGTTAAAATAAATGATATGAGAAAATTAACAAAATCGAAAACGAAAATGAAATAAATTATATACATGATAAATCACCATCATACATTATTGTTAAATGAAAAGAACAAAATAAATAAATCATTATGATTATTAACGGAAATATTTGAAATTTAATCATCCGGAAAAATATAAAAAGAAATATATTTTGACGTTTTCGAAACTAGAATTCGATCAAAAGCAAATTGCTATGAACGCCTAAATATTGTTATAATACGAGTGCGAATAATGCGTGCCTTCCACCGCTATTGTCGATGGACAGCCAACTGCTTATTTTGATAGAGGCTAAATAGTCACAAAACTGCAGTACTGTCTTCAAGTATATTTATTTAGGCGGTACTCGAGATGACATGTGACTCGATTGATTTGAGATATTTATAAAACGGTTGCTTCAACGAAGTTTTCAAGTTGAAAGTGAAGTAACTTATGAACGCTAGACTATTANGCGCTCGCACACTCACTGCGGGCGCCCGTCGCACAGTCGCGACAGCAATATAATTACGCGCGAGCGATAAGGATGGGTAGCTTGGGGTCATTGGACAAAATTCTACGTGCTCGCAGACCAGACTATAGCCGCAAGATTGTGGGAGTGGAGACAGGTAATCGTTCAGAGTTCTATTAAATTGATTTTTGAATTTGGTTATGATTTCTATGTTAAAATGTTTTGTTAACAAAATATGTGTATAAAATTATTACTCGAAAAATATATTTACTGCGACAAAATTGTAGTTAAATCTCTTAAAATAAACGATATTATGATAAAATTAACACAAATCTAAAACAAAAATTTAATCAATTAGTCTGTTACTCATATGGAAATGCTTTTGTACATTATTTTTGAACAAAAAAGATCAAAATTAATAAATATGAAATCATATTTATTACACAATCTATATTATATAAAGCTCGATTTCATAATATAAAATGACATTTTGACGTTTTCGGGATTGGAATTCGATCAAAAGCAAATTGCTATGAACACCTAAAAGAATTTTTATTTAAAACATTTTTGTAACTGCGAATAATGCGTGCCTTCCATCGCTATTGTCGATGGACAGCCAACTGCTTAGTTTGATAGAGGCTAAATAGTCACAAACCTGTAGTATACTGTCTTCAACTCTATTTATTTAGGCGATACTCGAGATGACACGTGACTCGATTGATTTGAGATATTTATAAAACAGTTGCTTCAACGAAGTTTTTAAGTTGAAAGTGAAGTAACTTATGAACGCAAGACTATTAACCAGTATTTCCAAATGAAGACTGAAACAATAGATCTGCATTTACGAGGGTTGCAACTAATTTACAATTAAACTATTGAGATAGTAAAAGTACGACATCCAATGGTTTTAATGACATTCCTTCTATTCAAAACTGTAATAACGACAATGTTATTTTTCTTTATACATTGATAGAAAGAGACAAAACAAGTTAGAGCAGTCACTTTTTTATTTTATTGCCATTTAAATACACACATACAAATGTAAACTAAAATAATGACATACATTTTAAGATATTATCACTGTTGAATACGCGAAAATATCTCACAGTTAGAATAAGTAAAATGTTTGCATGTATATCATAAGTTCTTCCAATAAAATACCAAAATATTTTAAATGAGTAAATAATATTATGTAGTTTTAGTACAATGGTTATTAGCACTAATGAAATGTATTAGTTTGTACAAATTCATATCAAAATGTATTTCATATCCAAGTGCTATATTTACTGTATTTATTACATTATTTGTCTTCCAATGACACAAGTTTTCCATGACAAAGAGCTATGTAATCATAAGTATATTTTACATAGATAGATAATTATAGTATATTCTAGTTAAATGTATTAATGACTGATATTGCTCACATATTGCCTTTCTCTTTCTGCCGTAAATATTTATTGTATACATGAAAGGGACGGGCAGATATGCATCTATCAGTATTTTCGAATTATTCGTAAATTAAGAATCTTGCCAGTAAGTGCCTTATGTAGATTAGAAATATTTTGTATGATCTATATTATTTATCGTTTATTGCCATTAATGTCTTCCCAATATAAACGAAACTTCCAATCGTAAGCTTTACATAGAGGAAAGTAAATTAAAGTTGCTGATAAGTAGCAACGTCTAAGAATAGTTTACACTTGTTACAAGTATTATTATAGATATAAAATATCATAGACGTTTATTTTAAGACAATAAAGTTTAATAAATATACATGTAATTTATTGGTTTTATTTATTGAATTATAAAATAGGAAGTCAAACCCAATATAACACGATAACTACTACAGTTACTGTATGTACTATTATGATTACAAGCACATCTTGCTATTACTATATAATATATCACACACGATAGAAGAAGATGGTGGAAATCTAGAGAGTGAACATTAAATATTGGCAATAGTAATACTTGTCGTATTTGCCTTACTATTCATATAAATTAAATACACCATGACGTAACAGAAAACACACAAGTACTTTTTAAAGTCATGCATGACGATGAATTACAATAATAAATTAATTAAGTTCAGTGGATTCCAAAGTTTGACCGAGGCATACCTCAATCCTCCCTAACTCGTCTGGCCAGTGTAGGCCAAATTCTCCATTTGCTTGCCCTTGAATGACCATCAGGTCAACAGCATCATCCGATAATACCCTAGTTAACGTAACCGCACCCGGGTTTAATCTAACTCTGACTATAAAAAAATATAGACAAGTTCAACGGAGTAGTTGCATACGTATTATAATGTGTATCGTGAAGGATTCTTTTGAAAACAATTAACTGAGATCCTTACTGGCAACCCGGGTCAACATCTGTAGAAACGCTTTAAGAGCCATTTTACATTTTCGTGCGAATTTCTAAGATTTTGGAAGCATGAATTACTATCTTAAGCAACACCCAGAGATTATTTAANAATCGAGTGAGATCACTTATCGTTTCCACCCTGTATATCACACACGATAGAAGAAGACGATGGAAATCTTGACAGTAAACATTAAATATTGGCAATAGTAATTAATATAACTTGTCGTATTTGCCTTACTATTCATATAAATTAAATACACCGTGTCGTCACAAAAAACACACAAGTACTTTTTAAATTATGAATTACAATAATAATTAATTGAGTACAGTGAATTCCAAAGTTTGACCGAGGCATACCCTCAATCCTCCCTAACTCGTCTGGCTAGTGTAGGCTAAATTCTCTATTTGCTAGCCCCGTATATGGAGACTTAATGACCATCAGGTCAACACCATGATAATACCCTAGTTAACGTAACCGCCACCGGGTTTAATCTAACTCTGACTAGAAATCTCAGTTACTTTATGAACTGAAGCGTATGTCGGTACAACCTTAGCATTAAACGGGTCTTTAAGGAAATGTATGCAGTATGTACAACAATGCACTTAGTTTAAAGCACTATTAGTTATAGTAATTTCATGTATGCGTGTTTGTCTTGTTGGTTGTCCTAATAAATAAAATAAATAAATGCAATGTAAGCAATGTAAAATGTTAAAGTTGTTAAATAAACTTTTACTTTACTATAAAAAAATATAGACAAGTTCAACGCAGTAGTTGCATAAGTATTATTATAGTGTGTATCGTGAGTGATTGACAATAAATGACTGAGAACATCCTTACCGTAAACCCGCGACAATTTTTTTTTAAATTCTTTGATTTAAGAGTTATTACATTGAAAATGAAAAAATCGATTCAATTTTAACCAATATTTGCCACTTATGAACGTCAAAATAATAACAAATAGTAGCCCCTAAGAGGGACTCTTCTTTACATGTCTCTTAATTCTTAATCTTTTAGGCCCTTCCATTGTGAACCAACATCTACCCATAAAACTTTGAGAATCATTGTAACATGCGTTTAATAAATATTTAGATTCGACGATTGCAAATGCTCTAATAATGGTGTTACAGCATCATAATAAACCCAAAACCAATATTTCGCTAGGCGAAAATAAATCATTCGCTATCTAAGATAATGCACTATTTGTCCCTCGTCGCCAGCTCCTCAGTGTCCTTTATTCCGACGGTCGTAAAGGCCAAAACGTTTGTCTATTAGGTTATTGTGACAGGAACAACGTTCTTCAGTTCTAAAGATACGAATGGGTATAAAACAGATGTCAGGCGTTATCGGCAAGCTTAATGAGGTGAACGTCATAGCGTCATGATGGGCGGAAACAGTGTTATTAAGCAGCAGACGCTTGAAGACATTCTGACGGAGAAGCAGCTCCATCAGATAGTCAAAGAATATGTGGGCGAGGAGCCTTGGCAGTTGATGGACTATTCGATCAAGCCGGCGACCGAAGGTCTTGCAGGTTTCCTAGGCGTACATCTGAAGATACGTCTGAACGTCAAGCTCGAAGGAAGAACGAAGACGATTTATTTGTTCGCCAAATGTATGCCGTTCGACAATAAGCCGAAGATAGATTTCATTGATAGAAACAACTTTTATAGGCGAGAGATGGTCATGTTCCAATTGATTGAGAAGATGCGTGCTTCTGAAGGTAAGTAATAAAAACTTATTTCTTTTTAATCCTTTTTACTTCATGAGAAGTTCCAATTAAGTTGCCATTCAGAATATTTCCCATGTGTCCTTACTAGAAACTTTTCCATCATTCGTAAGTAATTTAGCGTCACAGGTGAGCTGTGACGCTAAATTACTTACGAATGATGGATGAAAAAAACTAATATACAAAAGCGGTTTGATGTAAAATAGTATGTGGAAAATTAATTATTTGTAAATAAAAATAAATGCCACTTGTGGTCTAAACTGAATAAATGTTCATAAGTGCCACTTGTGGTCTAAACTGAATAAATATTAAAAAAAAAAAATACAATCACACCTAACCAACCACTTATGTTACTTCATCGAAGTCAACTATAGGTAAATCATAAAGTTAAGTGCAATATTTCAATTCCAGGCCCGAGCCCCTGGTGCACAAGAGCCCTCGTATGCAACGAGTCGATCCTCGTGCTGCCGGACCTGCACGTGCAGGGCTACGCCACGCGCCCGCACAACCGGACTTTAGATCTCCCGCACGTGCTGGTCGCGGCCGCGTCCCTGGCCCGCTGCCACGCCGCCGTCGCCAGCCACGAGGCCCGCGGAGACAAGCCGCACGGCTTCTACCGGGAGCACGAGTCCACCCTCACCGAGCCCAACTTCGTCGCGTCGCCCTGGCTCACCGCCGCCGCCAAACTCACGGCCAACATCCTGACCGCCTTCTCGACGAAGCCTCTCAAGGACATCCCCGACTTGGAGGACAAGATTCATCACAAATTCCTGGCGGCCTGCGACGACCTGACGCTCTACGAGGACACCCTCAACGTGGTGCTTCACAAGGACATGTGGCCGAACAACATTATGTTTAAATACGAGAACGGCCTACCCGCCAACGCGCTGCTCATCGACTTCCAGTGCATCCGCTACGGGCCTCCGTCCTTCGATCTGATGGCGTTTCTGTACCTGACCACCTCGAGGTTGTTCCGCGAGCAGCACGAGAGGAAAATCCTGCACTACTATTATTGTGTGTTTTACGATTCGCTGGACGAGGTCGCGAAACGGAAGGTGAACGATTTGGGACTCGATAGGGAGGAGTTCCTAAGGTGGTGCGAACGGAGCCGCAGGTTCGGGTTGTGCGAGGCGATCTGCATATTCCCCTATGTTTTGATGGATCCGGTGGTCGCTCAGAAGACTTTCGATGATCCGGTGACCTTCGACAAGTATTTCGTGGAAGATCGCTCGGAACCCGTGCTGGCTCACGCCAATGAGGACCCTATTTATAAAAACCGACAGCTGGAAGTTGCCGAAGAGTTTGTCGAGAGATACGTTCTGAATCAACCCTTAGAGCCGTAAGAAAATTAGTGCTGTAGACTGAAGTTGTACTCGTAAATATTAAGCTAAGATGAAGCGATAAAGTCTGGGCCATATTTAGTCGTAGCGAAGACGAGTAAACTGAGTCGATTTGGTAAAAACCAAAAATGGAAGGCAAACACGTTGGTATTACAGGTACGATTTAATAGTTCACTGTTTTGGGTTAATGTGTGCAAGTGTTTTTTTATTATAATGAATAAATCGTTGATGTAATATTTTGTTTCATTTCATCACATTGCGATTTGGTCGCTTTTTACCTTGGATTAGGAGAGCATACAGAGTTGTTGCTGAATATGTACGTGGCCAGTTGTAGTGGTTTTCCATAAGCGTCTTAGAATCGAACGAGATTGCAAAGCGGCCAGATCCTGCGCATATGATGTAAGCCGCGGACGCGCCATATGGCCGGCCGGCTGGTGCGCCGGCGCCTATGGCCATGTCACGCGCGCCGTATCGGGAGAAAAATAACTATTTGCTAATGTCGTTGCGCAGCTTTGACTGATTTATGGGATTAGAGAAATCGCAATTGAATACGGAGAGTGAATAGAAAGCTAAAGTTGATGTTAACATTGATTGGGAGGTTCTTTGTTGATTAATTTGTTTGTTTATGTAGCTAAATTATTATTAGCTATCATAGCTNAATAAGAAAATGAAAAATCTAAAAAAACCATGTGATGTACATTACTATAAAAACTACTAGAGATGAAACGGATAGTTGTTTGGCCGGATACCGGATATCCAGCCAGTTGCTAGGCCGGATAGCCGGATATCCGGGGGCCGGATAGTTGGTTGGCCCATTGTCTTGTTGCATGTCGTGACGAGTTTGGCGCCGCACAGGTGCTTCGAAAGCGATCAGTGGGTCTAGTAGACTGGACAAGTCATACTTTTCGAAAATCGAATCCATCCGAATAGAATGTCAGACTTTGCCACTTGTGTAGGGGGCAAATCAATTCGGGTGATTTCGGTTGCCATCGTGAGTGTTTGATTGAATAGCTAAAATTAAATTAGTTTACTCGCTGCGTAATCTGACTGAACTGCATCATGTCATCAGATCATCAGTGAAAGTCAAAGTCAAAATTTCTTTATTTGTTTGGACTAATAAATAGTTCTTACAAATCGTCATTTTGCTCTTAAGAAAAAAAGATCGCTTGTTTTATTTGGCAATATTGCGACATTAACAAATATTTACTATTTATGTATTCGTCATTAGAGTGAATAGCCTAGAAAAAGCAATTAGTTTTCTGAAAGGCCTTAATATGGTTTTTTTGTAACTTTTTGGACTTTAAATAAAAGTCGTCATTATTATAAGCCATTTTATTGATATTTACCTCAAAGATTAATGTAATTAATTTTATTATAGGAAATTGTCGTAATTTTTTAATATCCGGTATCCGGCCGGATAGTGAGTCACTATCCGGTATCCGGCCGGATAGTAAAAATAGGCCGGATATCCGGCCTACCGGATAGTTACTGGATATCCGTTTCATCTCTAAAAACTACCAACGAAAATTGTTTTGAACGAGATCTAGTAAGTAGTTTTTTTTAATACCTCGTAAATCGTAAACCGCTTATTACCGCGTAATCTACTATATAAAAATAAGTCGGGTTTTCCTCCCTGACGCTATAACTCCAGAACGCACGAACCGATTTCCACGGTTTTGCATTCGTTGGAAAGGTCTCGGGCTCCGTGAGGTTTATAGCAAAGAAAATTCAGGAAAAATTTCAACAGAAAAGCGGGAAGGGAGTCAAACGGGATCCACGCGTATGAAGTCGCGGGCGGCCGCTAGTTTTTCATACAAATATATAACTTAAATTAAAAAAATAATTTAATTTCATAAATCAATGGTACGGAACCCTTTGTGCGTGAGTCCGACACGCACTTGACCGGTTTTAAAAAAAAAATATTTTTAATTATTATAATTTTATTTTACACTTTTTAGTAGCATCTCAATCTCGGAGCTTTGGTTCAATTACAATGCAATTTAGCACCAAAGTGCTCGAAAAGACAAATCCAGCAAACCCAAACTCGATAAGTTTCCACCGTTTCGTTTTGGAATTCCTATGGCCACCTCCTGACTCCATCATCAGGAACCCTGGACATCATCTACTTAGTACTAAAGTGCTCGAAAAGACAAATCCAGCGAACCAAAATTCGATGCGATGCCGCCGTTTCATTTAGGAGTTCCTATGGCCACCTCATGACTCCATCATCAGACCAGCTCAATGGTACCTAACTTTGCATCGTCATCGTACTTACATAAGTATACCAAATTTCAGCTCAATCGGTTGAGAAAAACTGGTCTTAAATTCATTTGCAAGAGTTGTCCCACACATACTAACAAGTGTCGTTAGTGATCTGGTTACAAAAACTGTTGTTTTGGGTTCTGGAAGTTCTGGAAGCCCGAACGTAACTTGTCAGAACGCGTTTTTCTAGCGTTTTTCAGCGTGCCTGCTGTATCTTTTTGGTAAATAGTACTTAGGTACTGGATTAACGATTAACGGACTTAGGATAATTTAACGGAAGTTAACGAGTCCGTTAACATTTTTTAAAGTTAACTTAAAAGTTAATCCGTTAATAGAAATGTTAACTTCGTTAATTAACGATTAACGGATTAACGAGTTAATGCCCAGCTATGTTAGCTATTTTGTAATAGATGACCTAAACCTTACAAACGTTTGCATGCAGTACGTTCCGTGAAAGCGAGATCGTGCCTCTCAGAAATTCTATTTTCCCAGGATTAATAAAAGCATTTATTCTGATTCGAATTCAATAATGCGCATATAGCTTTTGCCCGTGGCTCACTATGTACAGCTTCATGGATTTGGATTTGACAAGCCAATATCACCCGTGCATACCCCAATAGAATAATTTTTTTTTTACTATGAAAAGCAATAATGAACTCTTGTAATGTGTCTTATATCGCTCCTTATAAGATTTAAAGCAGACAATTCTGTAGCATGCCAAATAAAACACGTAAAAATTCATCTGCAAGCTCAACATTGTTGAGCTGCGTAACGACTGAGACTGAAAAACACTGCAAATCGCCTGATCTTTTTATCATTTCTGCGTACGGGATACATTAACGTTCCTTTCTGTACATCACGCAACAGCAGGCAGGCATTGTCTAACGAAGGCCGGCCGCTGCGGCGCGGGCGCCGTGACCGCGTCACGCTGCGTTCTTGAAGCTCGCGCGGACTCGCGCAGAATCATGAGGTGTGCGTTGAAATAATGACACCTCTTCATTTTCTGAAGAACCTTATTCTAGAAAGGCCAAGTTTTGCATGAACCGCTAACAAAACCTAACTTAATTGTGAACAGAGGTGGAATTGTGTAAAGTAATCGTTATCATTTGACAGTTCATATCGTACGATTATTCTGTCAAACGCTTTGTTTAACTGACTTTATCGTACGTTATGAACTGTCAAATGATTACGATTGCTTTACACAATTCCACCGCAGGTGTTTATGCATGTTATTGTCCTGCAGCAATAGGTAGAGACATAAGTAATTATAATGGATCGTGTAAAAGACCTTTTTTGAGAACTAATAATTGATAAATTGGATAAATTATTTATGACTTAGGAGTACTATGCTTATATTTTATGTAGCTGTATTGGATACACCAATGCATACGTCAAGTGGTCTTAAATTCTTAATAATACTTCGTAAGCAAAGCTTCGCGTCCGTACTATTGCTTATTTTAGCATATTAATTGATATTTTAGCATAAACTGGTTGCATTTAACTTGACAACAATTGCATTTCAGGGTAATCCTTTGTTTGGCACGTGGGNTCAGTCAGATCCTATAATATGGGAGCTCTTAGCTGTCTTATGTTGATGTTTGCGTCTGTTCGGGTCAATCGATCCAGACTAATCGACTGTATTTCTTTGTTAATAATATGCATCACATGTCTGCCTCCCCTATACCTATCATCAAGGTATAGGACAACGATAACATTGATAAGGGAACAATTGTAGTTTGTGTTGACACAGACACGCGGCTATTTACACATTACGTCTTAGACAAACACTTCTCACTTCGTGTATTGATAAGTTTCTGTTATATGTAGATACATTTTCTAGTCCTATCCTACCACATACATAAAAAATTTAACGAAATATGCTGTGTTCGCTAGAAGAAATGGTATTTTTAAATAGTAGAAGCTAAATCTTGATTTACTGCATATGTAGGTATATGGGTATTGAATGTCGGATGTATGATACAGCAGACCTTTCGCACTGAATTCTATCAGTCGGTTAAATTAAACCCTCGCGATGCAGTTGAGATATCGAGGTGCCCGTGCGATTTAATTAAGTTTTGTTCATTAATCTTGAGGAAAATGACGTAGCCTCATTTTTACTGGTAATTTATCGAGAAATGTTAACGATATGTAGGCACAATGTAGCGGAGCAATAAATCCTCGTTTTGGAAGCGAAGGCCTCATACATGTTGCATCGCCGATAAATCGCGGGGCTTGTGAATACAGTCGGCACAAAAAGAAAGTTTAAGGTCGGCAATTTGTTCTTAACTTCAACTGTCAGCTTTTTGTTCTGATGAGCAAGCGAGTCTGCCGGTACCAACGGTAACCCTTCGTAGCATCATTATCAGATTGGTTCAGTTCTACTTTACCCTAATGATCAGGCGCCAACTAGGGGTAGTGTAGGTCAATTAACCAGTTTTTAGTCCAGTTTCATTTCAACTAATCAGCTTTTGCTATGTGCGTAGAGCGACGAGCGACGCTTTTTTGTGTGCTGAACTGTACGAATAGACTGTAACGTGCATGCCTGTTCTTCATGTATGGTGCATTCAGAATGTCACAGGCAGGGCTGTACCTCAATGAGAATAACAACCGACTTGTGTTCCAATTTCATTTCGGCTATGATAGAGATATTTTTTTTTGCAAGTGGCGGTTGGTCATATAATATCTTCGTGATCTACTGATTGCTGTCTTGGTTGCCGGGGCGATTTCTACGCGCACCTACCGTGTTAGGCCCGAAGTTTCGTACCTACACGCATCGTCCAGTCCAGTTGTCCTTTTGAAAAGTTCGATAGAGCAGCATATGAGTTGTCTTATTATAGCAAGCTTTTATTTCGTTGTTAGTTAGTTTTCACGTTTGGTCATTGTTTTGGATTTAGATTTATCCTCAAAAGCCCAATCAGTCGTACATATGACTGCCTTTCAAAACAGTATCGCAGCAGCCCTGGCATTCACCCCCTGCATATGGCACAAGGGCGGCGTGTTCCGTATACGGCGCGCCATTGCTGGCCACTCTCGGTTTCGAGCTGCGCCCGCGCAGGCCGCACTGTCATGGAATGCGCGAGGGCAAACAGTACTATGCAGCCTTTTCTTGCAGCTTCGCTTGCATATCTTTCAGTTGATCACATAAATATAGTATTCGTTCGTAGTCCTAAAGCTAATATCAGAAATGGGTTAGTTAATTCAGAGTTAGGTACGAAAGAAACGTATACCAAACGAGGCACGCCAGACTTATGGCAACGTGAAGTTTGACAACAGATCGTCTTAGAGTAGGCGCACACCGTTGATTTTTCGTCGGCCGATAGTTTAGTCGGGCTGTTGATCAGTATGGGCATGTATGGGAGTGCGCACACTACGCCGATTC